CTGTTTTACCAGAAAAAAAAAAACCCTGTTGGGCATACACCTGCAACCTCAGCATTTTGGAGGCAGAGGCAGAAGGATGCAAGTTCAAGGTTATCATCAGCTATACAGTAAGTTTGAGGCCAACCTGGGCTACCTGAGACCCTGCCTCAAAAAAGGAAAACAGGGCTAGAGAGAAGGCTCAGTGGTGAAGAGCACTGGCTGCTCTTGCAGAGGACCCGGGTTCAAATCCCATCACCCACATGACGGCTAACAACCTTCCGTAACTCCAGTTCCAGGGGATCTGACGCCCTCTTCTGTCTCTGCAGGCATTACATGACACAGGTGCACTACCTACAGGCAGGCCACACACTCATACACATGAAATAATAAAATTTTTAAAAAGCAAAACAAAAACAAAAGAACCAAATGAAGATTCTAAAACTGAGCAGCAGTTTCTGACAGGAAAAGACCAAGTGTACGGCAGGCAGGTGACAGGAGGAGCCAGGTCTGTAGAGAAAAAGAAGACACAAGTCTTCTGTCACAGTCTGAAGAGAGGAAAAGACAGAGCGGTGAGCAGTGTCCGGGCTCTGTGACACAGTGAGCCCCTGCCCGGCACACGGACACCTGAGGGTAAGGGGGAAAGGAGGAACAATGCTCCCAACAGCTGGAATTCCCAAGGCTGGTCAAAGACAAGAGCTAAAAAAAATCATAGGAAAAACCACATCTAAGGCATGGGGGTCAGCCTCCCAGCCAAAGACACAGAAACCTGAAAACAGTCAGGGAAAGACGGCGCGGGTCACCACACCTGCTGGGAGGACTCTCCCCAACAGGACGGAGCTGAGGCTCTCAGCCGAGCACCCCTCGGCCAGCAAGAACCAAGTCCTGGGAGACAAGCCCTCTTGAGGGGAATGAAACTGGCAGAGCACAGAGAATGAACCAGGAGACCAGCTCTTGGAGAGAAAGAGCAGCAGACCAGAAGCACTGCTCAGACCACCAGCAAGACCACCCTCTTCTCCCCGCTCTTCTCAAAACACGAGACCATCCGACGGCCCATTGCGGGGCTGACCTGCATGCCAAGCCCGGTGCGGGGCGGCTGGGGACCCACCGCCTTGGAACCCCGTGAGAGGCACTTCGTGAGGAAGCAGTCGTTCAAGTGGCTGTGTGGACCTGTGCTTCAGAGGAGCGCCAAGGGGGAAGGCAAGGAGGGCGGTCAGCTTAAGAACGGGGACGGTGACTACAGGGCAACCTGGCTGTCCTCGTACCGAGGGTCAATCTGGCACATAGAGGGGAGCACACCCTAAGGTCCACGCTCACCTCGCTGCAGCACCTCCGGAAAGGCAGCAGCACACAGCGGTTTCAGAAGTCAGCTCTCACTGCGATTCCTGTCTTACTGAAATTCGTGCATACTTTGGGGTTTCTTTTCTATTAAGAGGTTTTGGGGGCTGGAGAGATGGCTCAGCGGTTAAGAACACTGGTTGTTCTTGCAGAAGACCCGGGTTCGAATCCCAGCACCCACACAGCAGCTAACAACTGTCTGTAACTCCAGTCCCAGGGGATCTGACAGCCTCTTTTGTCCTCCACAGGCATTGCATGACACGGGTGCACTTACCTACATGCAGGCAATACATACATACACATAAAATAAAAATGATTAAAAAAAATGTAAAAATAAAATTTTTTTTTATTAAAAAAAAAAATCCCAAGGTTTGTGGGTTCAGTCGTCACGACGATGTTATGTAACACACCTCAGCAGCAGAACCAGAAGGCCACAGGTTCAGAGTGGCACAGAATGCCACTTCCCAGCTTTGTCTGAGAACTGTTAAGTCTCTACAGACATGGCATGGATAAACATGGGTTCTTTGGAGTCTGTATGTATTTTCAGAGGAAGAAGGGCTGGGGAAGTTTGCAAACAAGGTCTCACTATGTACTGACCTCAAGCTCACAGAGATCATGGATCACTCTCTGCCTCCCGAGTGCTGGGATTGAAGGAGTGGGCCAACACATGCAGGCTTCTTATTTATTGTAGCCATAGCTGGCCTGGATTCGCTATGGAGACCAGGCTGGCCTCAAACTCACAGAGATCCTCCAGCCTCTGCCTCCCAAGTGCTGGGATTAAAGGTGCACGCCACCATGCCCGGCTCCGTTATTACTATTATTTAATTTATTTATTTAGGTCTTTTTGAGGCAGGGTCTCCCTGCAGCCCCAGCTGGCCTGGAACTCACAGAGATCCGCCTGCCTCTGCCTCCCAAGTTCTGGGACCAAAGGTGTGCGCTTCCACACCCGGTCGAGGGTCCATCATTTTCAAGAAGGCAAAGAAAAGCCAGGCATAGTGGCACAAGCCTTTAATCCCAGCACTCAGGAGGCACAGACAGAGGTTATCGAGATCAAGGCCGGCCTGGTCTACATAGGGAGTTCCAGGCCACCTGGAACTACAGTGAGACCCTGCCTTAAAAACAAACAAGAAAAAAAAAAAAAGAGTGCAAAGCCCCCAAATTCTGAGATGTTTCAAATCTGCAGTTTAATTAAGGTGATGGGACCAGCTATCCACTACCACTCTGCCAGAGACAGAGCCCAGCTACTTCCGTCCTAGGGCAAAGGCACAGGTACTCCCAGTGTTCGAGGCTTCCCCTCCCGCACCTGCACACCGGTCCCTGATCCCCAAATGGCAATGACAAGTGGCCCAGGCACTGGGACCTGAGACTGAGCTCTCTCTTGTCCCAACCATGGCATGGAGGGATGGAGAACTTAGTGTGAGATGGTTCCCTCCTGAGCAGCCACACTAGGCCTGGGGACGGCCCACACTGAGTCAACACTGCCGTCCCTGCATGGGAAGGTTTTCTAGTGAACAGCACAGGAGACTGCCTCCTAGCAGACTGGGATCCTGGGAACTAACCTGCACCTTCCTTCCCCCTCTCCTCAGCCCCGCATGGCCCACAGCGCCAGCTCTGGGTCCGCGCCTCAGGGACTCCCCTGTGATGCAAGTCTCAACTGCAAAATGGAGCACGATACTGATAGAAAAGACGCTTTCACCTAAACACACCCAGAGTCGCTGGAACATCAAGAAGGGGGATGCGTCTACCAGGAGCACAGCCCAACCAAAGCAGCACCAGAAGCTGTTTCTGTGGCTCCTGCACTTTCCCATGTGGAAAATGGAAAGTCTGACCACTTCCTACTCAAACCCTATACTGTAAGACTTCAAGAGATCAGAGGAAACCGAACCAGGAGAGGCAAGCCGAAGACAGGAAGAGTTAAGAGCAGTAAAACCCCAAGGCCTAAAGCCAGCCATGGTGGTGCACGCCCTCAATCCCAACACTCAGGAGGCCCAAGGGAGGTTCGAGGCCAGCCTGGTCTACATAGTGAGTTCCAGGCCAGCTGGGGCTACAGGGAGACCCTGTCTCATAAAAGCCAAAACAATAAAACACACAAAAAACCTCCATAGCCTAGCATGACCATGGACAGCACTAACCGATGCCCAGCAAAGGGAAAATGAGCCATGAGGAAAGGGGCTAGTGAGACCGAGCTAGTCTAGTCTGCCTGCCAATTTCTGGACAGAAGAGCCCTGCTGTCTGGGAGTGACAGCAGGTGATGCTGTGGGGTCCAACAGTGCCAGGTTGGCTGGGACCTACCAGCTAGCCTCCTGTGTGCTCACCATAGTCAACATCACAGCCCCTCAGCCTCCGCCTCTCTTGGCAACAAAGCATACAACCAGGTGACAGTAGACCACAGTCGCCCTGAATTATACCCCTCCAAAACGAAGGCCTGTCATGTCCTAGTGCAGTGGCCAATCCCACAGGGGTCCTGTGAGGTCTGAGAGTTGTGCAGCAGAGGAGGCACTGCTCCTGGCTGATTTTCTCAGAAGCCCCACACTCCAGGTACCAACTCTCCATCCACAGCTGCATCGATAGGAAAACCCAGCAGAAAAGACAGTCGACAGAGGCATACAGCCTCCTGGGAGCAACGTGTACCATGAGGACTGCAACCTTGCACCCAGGCCCCAGTAGGGGAACAGGCTTTCAGAGCTGCTGTCGCCCCACGCTGGGCTCTGAAGACAGACATGGCACAGAGCAAGGACGCAGACCATCCCAAGACAAGACCAAGTCAGAGCAGACGGCGCTCTAGACATCAACACAGGTCTTTCTAAGGCAGCAGCACTCGGCATGCCTGGGACATGAGAGGGAGAGAAGGGACGGGCACATCTATAAATAAGGAAGGGAGCAAACTCGGAACTAGGGGTGGCCAGACTTCCAAGGGCCTCGAGGTCTATCCTGACGAGGTATTATTTCCCCCGCTCTGCTAAAACCTGGTGGAGTTTTTGACCCATCTAGTCCTACCAATCACCTTCTCCTAAAGGCCCCCAAACCACACAGTCATCCAATTTAAAATTATCTGAATGCCAGGGGCGGTAACTTGTGTGCCTTTAATCCCAGCCCTTGGGAGGCAGAGGCAGGCGGCTCTCTGTGACATCAGACCAGCCTGGACCAAATAGTGACTCCCAGGCAGCATGGGACTAGGGAGACTGTCAAAGAAAATAAACAAAATGATTTGATTTTGTGACTGTGTGGGTGGCTGTCAGTCAGCCTCACAGAGCCAGGAGGACCAGAGCCTGTGGCAGGGGCTCCATCCACTTCCAGTCCACACTGAGCAACCCACAGGCCTGTTACCTTAAGAAAAAGTCACACTCCTCACTGGCACAGGCCATGTTGGTGCAGCTGGGAGAACCTGTCACCACATCAGCACAGGACAAGCCCCAGGCGCCCACTTAGGGGACAGCAGCACTCGATCTAAGCCGACACTTTAGAATTTAGCATCTACTCTGGTGTGAGGAATGGAGAGTTGAAACCCTTTTCCTCCTTCAGTGAACAACAGTGTCTGAGATGTTTACTGCCAAGACATGCTCACCCATTCCTTGCAGAATGAGAAAGAGCAGCACCCTCCCAACAGGCTGCAGCTGCGTGCTGAGGACGCCTCCTGCCTTCTGCCCACACGGGGGACCTCTAGTGGGAAGCCCAGTGGGACCTACCTTTGCCATGCTTTCCCAAAGGCCTCTTGGGCAGGGACTCCTCGGTGGAATGCGCTGATGTGTGTAGTGCGTTCTCCAGACTGTTGCTGATGCTGATGACGGGGGCCTCTGTTCTGGGCGCCACCTGGGGGGACAGACCATTATCCTCTTATTTTCCTCTGCAGTAGAAGCTCATTTTAAAAGTCATGCATACAAACCTGAGTTTCAGGTTCTCCTACGAAACATGCATCTCTACCATAGTACAACTCACTTCCTGAGAAAGACCAAACACCACCATCCATGCCTCTCCCCAAACCCACAGACAATCCTGGGCTTCCGCCTGGGCTGGGTCCATGAGACGGCATAGGAGTCTTAGCCACGCTGGCATGAGTCACATGCCTTCATCTGAGGCAAAACCCTATTTTTTTCTGTTTTTTTTTTTTTTTTAATTCTGTTTTTTTGTTTTTGAAGCAGGGTCTCCCTGTAGCCCCAGCTGGCCTGTACTCATGGTATAGACCAGGCTGGCCTTGAACTCAAGAGATCTGCCTGCTTCTGCCTCCTGAGTGCTGGGATTAAAGGCATGTGTCACCATACCCAACAAAACCCTGTTTTTATTTCTTCAAATAAAATACTTTCCTATAAACCCTGTTCCACAGCAGGACCCAGCGCTGATAAATCTCACAGTGCTCTGGAAGCCGCAGGAGGCACACAGCACCTCCAGCCCAGAACAGTTTGAAAACAGCAGACAGATCCCGAAGCTTTTACACAGGAAGAGACCCCATCTGAGGGCAGGGTACTAACTACAGTGTTTGTGACCCTGAAACCCTGAAAATACCTTCATTATCTAGGGGCAGAGACCTGGTGGCATAAACCACAGGACGCCAGCACAGCCCGCCTTCCTGGGTGTGAAGAGAAGATCGCTGTGTGTACACAGACGGGATGGGGCCCACAAGCCCTGGACAGCTGGCTGGCCCTGAGAAGGGCTGGGGAAACTCCCCCACCCACCACCACTCTGTGATATTTGAAAATTTTTCAGTCAAAACTGACTGTGGAGTGAAATTTGCTTTCATTTCAGCATTACCTCAAGATTTCAAACTCTCAAATGATATTAGGAAAACATCTAAGACTTTAAAATTCATCACGCAGCCCTGCCACACATGCAGTGGGGGAGGGGCATCGAGGAAGCAGCACTGGTCCTGACTGGATTCAGGGCAGGGAGCACCAGGGCCTGCCTGCCACCTCCCTGGCTGTATTTCCACTTGGCTTTTCCCTTTGTTATCTGCCTGGTGGGTGGCAGGTGGTCACTGGTGCGCAGAAGGCTGGCAAGGGGGCAGGAACACTCGGGCACTGAGGTAGAAACAAGTCGGAGTCAGGCGTATCAAGCACCAAGCAGTGTCAGAGGCACTCAAGAAGCCGGGTCAGAGGGTCAGAGGGGTCAGGGGGCTTCCTTGGCACCCGGTGCCCAAGCAGTCTACACAGTGCAGTGCCAGCCACCTACGTGGACCTCAACCCTAGCCACCACTCTACGTTAACTCAGCAGTTAAGAGGACCGGCTGCTTTTGTTGAGGATCCAGGTTCAATTCCCAGCACCCACATGGTGGCCAAGAACTATTCATAACTCCAATTCCAGGGGATCCAAAACTCTACTGATCTCCATGGGAGTTGCACGACACAGGTGCACTTACATGCATGCAGGCAATGCACTCACACACATAAAAGTCAATAAAAGAAATATTTTTAAAAAATAAGAGGTTACCAAGAAAGTTAAATTGGGGTCTCGGACACAGCTCAGTTCGTAGAGTGCCTGCTTAGCATACGGAATCCCTAGACTGGATCCCAGCACCACGTACATCAGGCATGACAGTGCACACCTATGTTCCTAGCTCCCAGAAAGTAGAGGTATAAGGATCAGAAGTTCAAGGTCTTCCTGACACACAGCAGGGTCAAGGCCAGTCATAAGGCTCTGTCTCAGGGTGGGCCTCATGTGGCATCAAGCGGCTCACTTGCCAACTCCCAGAAGAGACCACAGGAAGTACTTCCTGTGGCCCTGCAGGAAGAGCCAAGGGCTGCCAGCCTCAGGCCAGCAGCCAGGTTGGGACAAACTGTGAACTGCCCAATCAAAACACAAGCATGGCATCTGACAGCCGTACAGGAGAAACCACTTTAAAAAACCCGAGGCCAAACGCACATCTGCCTCCACCCAGCTTCTTCCCTCACCGGCCTCTCCGCTTTGCTCCTTTGTTTATACAGAAAGCTTCCTTCAATTGCCTTCCCAGAAATGCTGTTTTGGGTTATTTTTGGTTAGGTTAATTTGCCCATGTGACCCACAGTTTGACTCAGATGCTCTCTGACTCATGCTCCGCAGAGCTCTGGTCCCAGCTGATGTGCAAATGTCGCCTTCCGGTCCTGAGCAGGTCGGACCAAGCTGATGTTCCTAGGCCAGGATCCTGCTACTGTTATAGTTCAGGTCCTCTCTGGGCAAGCTCCCGATTTACTTCCAAGAGATCACAGGCCCTGCTCCCAGCTAACTGCCCTTTCACCTTCAGGGTCAGCCTGTCCAGGACCACCAGGGCCACTGCCTAACCAGAGACCAAGTGGACACCCATCCCATCTGCTTGGCTCTCAGGGACCCAAGTGGACACCAGTTCTGTCTTTCTGGCCCCACTCCTCATATTGGCCCACAAGGACCCTGGATACTGTGGCCTATCTGCCCAGTGGACACTCAGTTCCCTCTGCGGGGCCTCGGCATTGTGGTCCCGCCCCAAGGCTCCCTGGGAGTCTGTCTCACATCTCTATTCAAATGCCACTACCTGAGTAAGAACTCGGCATCAGGTAAGGCCTGGCTCCTTCTCTGCGCTGTCTGTCCATGAAGGAAACCCATGCACTAAGAGCAATGCTGTCCCGGAAACAGAGAGGCATCTGTGAGACACAGGTCAACAGCACCATGTTCCAAGGTCACAGTGGCACCTGCACTAGCAGGGGATGCGTCTACACTCCTACCTTGTGGGCTGTCATTCAGCGGACGCACCCAGACCTGGAGGCCTGTGAGCCTGCCAGCCCAACCTGGTAGTGTGGGCATGCAACCTCAGCTACTCAGGAGGCCAAGGCAAGAGGCCTAAATGTTCAGGACCAGCTCAAGCTACAGACCAAGTTCAAGGCCAGTCTGGGTGACTTAGTGACAGCCTGTTTCAAAAGGTACAAAGTGTGCTGAGCTCCCCGAGCTCATTGCTAGTCTGGCCTAACACACGCCAAGCCCTAGACTCGGTCCCCAGGACCATAAAACACAAAACAAAAAGAGTTTCCAGATCGTGGTAAGTACTCTGACTCTGGTCTTGAGTGGACTGTGAGCCTGCATTCCTGACACTCCTGGTGTCGCCCAGGCTGTCCCCTCGGAGAAGGAACTGACACCACATGGACAATCAGACCAGATGGACGTGAACCCCCTTGGGTGGGCTCCTGAGGTCACAGACCTCCAACAACATGTAGCTGGTCCTATCATGATGGCCTCTAACTGTCCCTCAGGACTTTTAAAACACGGTGACGACTGATGAAAAGCTCACATTTACAGGCTTCTTTAAAGCTGTGCTTAAAATCCACTTCAACATTGATCGAACAGGAATACAGCCTTCGAAATTTAGTTTTTAAACATCAATTCCATTTTCTTTTTTGTTTTCACTTTCATTAATTTTTATTTTATGCGTATGAGTGTATTGCCTGCATGTATGTGAGTACACCTGTGTTGTGCAATGTCCATGAGGCCAGAAGAGGGTGTCGGCTCCTCTAGAACTGGAGTTAACAGATGGCTGTCAGCCGCCATGTGGGTGCTGGGATTTGAACCGGGGTCCTCTGCAAGAGCAGCCAGTGCTCTTAGCCACTGAGCCATCTCTCCATTTTCAAATGTAACATGCTCACATACAAAGTTCTGGAAGTGGAGCCCCTCCCTCAAACACAGACTGCAGCAGACAGGTCGACCAGAGGCCCAGGCCTCCCACAGCCCCGCACCGTTCCTCCAACAGGGAGTGGCGGCAAGCTCTAGAGCGGACAGGCTTGTCACCGTCAGGTACACAGACCAGGTTATCCCCACGGCGAAAGAAAAAAGGGCCAAAGGGTCAGGAGCTCCCAGAGCTCTTGCCAAGGCTACACAGTCAGTCAGAACAGAGTGGAGGTGGGGGGGCTGCTGTGAGCAAAACCAAGGGGACCAGTGGGGTGCAGTGGTGCACACCTATGATCCCAGCACTCAAGGAGGCTGAGGCAGATGCATCACGCACGCCAGGCCATCCTGGGCTACACAGAGAGATGGGGAAAAAGTGAGACAGGCAGGGAGGAAGGGCGGGGCTTACAGGCCCACACAGCACAACAGACCCGGGTACATGGCAGCACACCTGCCTGCCGGTGCCACGAGGCAGGAGACTATCTTCTTCTGTCTCAGTCTCTTCTGCTGTGATGTGGAAATAAGGGGAGCTGGCTCACCGAGGGAGGGAGGGAGCAAGCAAGCGTGCGCTGTGGTAATTAACTAAAAACGCATTTGCAGAGCTTACCAAGCTGGAAGACACTTGACGTTATTGTCCCTGGCTGGGGTACCCAGGTGCCGGGAAGGCAGAGTAGGGGACTGAGGCACTTCAGACAGCACAGGGACAACCCGTGACCACAGAAGAATGATGAGAGCCAGAGCCTGCAGTCTCCCTGCCCTCCCGCACCTCCCCTGAGGACTGGGCAGAACTCCAACCATCACCCCATGTCCACATCCCTGTGCTGGAATCCAGGGTGTCTCTTCTTCAAGTGGACCCCTCTTAGGGTCTGTGACAGGTCATCACTTCCTCTAAAACTAGCAGACAGAGTTTGAGAAGTCATTTCATCACCTGAACTAAAGGGAAACCAAGCCTCACAGCATGGCAGGCAGCAGGCTCAGCGGAGATGCTGCACCTTCAGACCCTCTAAGGACACCTGGAGGACTCAACAGGTTCCTAGGACATCACCAACCAAGGACGCTGCCAAGGAGCTGTGAGGCAGGAAGACAGCGCCCCTTCACCGGGAGGAATCAAGGACACCGCCATCCAGCGGATTGACAGCTAGCACAGAAATGAAACACACTAGACTGTGCTGTCCCTTCAAGAGCTTCAGCAAACACAAGGCATGGAAATGCTC